CCTTCGGTCCGTCCTACGTTATCGACGTCCCGCTGCATCTACGTACCTACCCGGTCTTCCATGCATCTAAGCTGCTTCCTTTCACTCCAGCTGATGCATTCCCAGACCGACCCCCTCAATTTGGTCCATCGATCCCTAGTAAGGGATATGACGTGGAATGGGTTGAGGACGAGTGGGGCACAGGCCCCGACCGACAATATCTTGTGAGGTTCGCATTCCAGCCTCCTTCTGAGAACAGATGGTTCTACTGAAGGGAACTTCTCAAGACAGCAAAGTCAGTTGTTTTGCGATATGAAGCGGCTCAGAAGGGCAACCTTCCTCGCCGTTCACCTCGCCTGCATCCCTAGCTCGGAGGTCCTCGCTCCCGGGGAGGGTAAGCCTGCAATGACTTGCTGATTMTGACTGYCGAGATTGACTGCGAGGCTGTACACTAACCGGTAGGGTTAGATTCGTAATTTTGTTTGGCTGAGGGCTAACCGAGAGACCTGCCTGTAGGGAAATTCGTGAGGGACATATCTGCAATTCTGGGAAAATATAGGCCCAGTACTAACCCGAATTCCTACAGCTACCCTAACTGCGTATAGCAGGCCCGGGCTACCCCTAGGACAGACAGGCCCTAAGCGGCCTATGCTGATAGACGGTCCTATAGCCTATAGCCGAGTCCGGTAGAGGCCGAGAGGCCGAAACAGCAATGGTACCGGTCGGTCAGTCAGTCCGGTCTAGGTCTAGGGTAGTCTATAGGTAGGTTAGGCCCATCGGTTGAGGACTTTATGCAGTTCATTGCTCGCGAAGCAGCGTTGGAGAAGCCAAGCAAGTTGGTGGTGGTGATGGTCTGCAGGCGGCATCCTGAGACCTCGTTGTTGACAACAACCATAGCCGGCCCAGTCTGAGCCTGCCATAGCTGGGGCACCCTCAGCGCATCTACCCCTGGGGTATTTGCGTATGGCCGGGCTACATCGAGGCTCTACAGTGTGTGTTCGTGGGTGGTGGCAGCCATAGCTGCCTGTTCCTTCGTCAGAGTTGTCCATCGACACTGAAGACTTCATCGCAGGACTTGTTCTTCATCAGGGTGGTTGGCGCTGGCCTCTGGGAGGCCATTCTGATGTGGCGCTACTAACTGGGTGTAGGATAGAGAGTGGGATGTGAGTTCTGAGAGCGGCGAGATGCTGGAACAAACTCTGTTACGATAATTGTTTGAGTTGACTCATCATCAGTGTCATTTCAATTGTTATCCTCGCAAGTTCTAATTGTGATTGGTTGTTGGGAGTTTGTCAGAGAGAGAGAAACATTGTGTGTCTTCTCCCCATCTGTGCATAGCTGTATTCCGCTGCCTACTCTGATCTGTGTGTAGTGTGGACTTTGTCTCCTCTCCCCCTTCTCTTGTGCATGTATGGGCATGTATGAGACTGTCTGTGTGTGAGTGGCAGTATAAATCGTCAGACAACCAAGTCCATAAACATATTAATGAGGTGATGTACCTGCAGAATACCTATGCCAGGGCACACATGGTCCCACAAGACAAAACGGGACTGGATTAGGAGGGTGGAAGAAGCATGGATGTTTTGGAAGAGGGCCAAGTCGAGGGAGGTGGATATGGAGGGGATACAATAGTCACATATGTGGCGCCAACCGTGGAGTTGAGGGACTGGTTGATCAATGTGCAGCGAGTGGAGGAGGTGCAGCTGGCGGAGGTACGTGGTGAAGTGAGCCTCCTCCCATGGAAATCGCCAGTGGAGCTGCAGGCAGCGAAACTGGCAGAGCGGCGACGGTGGCCATGGGTGAAAGTTTATAAACCATCCACCCTAGCGGCCAAGTGGATGAGAGGGGCGGTGGAATATTTCTATGGCCCGATAGCCGAGGAACAGGCCTTCAACGAGGAAGATCGAGAGTATACACAGGGCCCATTGAAGAACCCGCTGAAGATTACAGTGGCTGTGGCCACTGGCCCATACAGTTTTGGAGAAGTTCGAGTGATTATAAGCGAGACCCCCTTTTGCGAGATTTGTTTTACACATGGCCACCTTGGATGGCATGGCGGATGCGTCACATGTGCGGAAACATTGCAAGTACTGCAAGCCAGGGAGATGAGAGTGACGATGGATCCAATACTGTAGTCTGACCCTGACGTGGAACGGAAGGCATGGCACGAGATGGAACTGCGAACAGACGGAGTGCTGATGGAGGAGGAGAAAGTGAGAGCGCATGAATTGGGGGGGACGTCAAAAGCAAGGGAGGCAGCACCGACCCACAGAAGAAGGGTGAGACGGGGAGGGGGGTTCCGACGATATGTTCCGTGGGACGGAAGGGGGGATGGCCCCAGGGCCCATGCAAATGGATGAGCCCTGCTGGCTGTTCGGGGGCGAACATAAATGAAAAGCGGAATGCCCATCGGAAGCAGAAAGGGCTCCTAAAACGGGGGAGGTGAATCAGTCGGGCGAGGGGGGTAAAGTGGAAAGGGTCGACAACCAGACGGGGAGGGGGACGGGACCGGCCGAACCTGGACTGGGAGGGAAGAATGAAACAATTGCAGAGCAACAGCCTGAGATAAGGGAGGCTGGAGAGCAAGGTGGGAGTAGTTGTCGGCAGGGGAGACATGTGGGAGGAGAGAGTCAGGCAGAGGAGGGGAAGGGTGGACGAGGGGCGGCGACCGTACAAGGAGAGGAGGGGGGAGTGGCTGACCTGCGGAGTAGTCTGGCAGTGGATGGAGGGGGAGAAGGTCCCAAGGGAAGTAGAACGGGTTGTAGGGGAAGTGTGAGGACGGACAGTTTGTCAAAGGCTCCAGACCGAGGGAGAGAGGAGGTAGAGGAAGGAAACACCAACAAGACGAAAGAGATGGACTGCATGGGAATAGACAACGGCGAAGAAGGACAAGAGGACACACAGAGACCGACCATGCAAGATATGGGGACGGGAGGCGAGCAGTGGAAAACTGGTATCGCAAAGCTCGAGCAGGTGGATGCTCAGGGGTGGCAAGTGTATGACCCGCCGATTATAATGGATCGGGACAAGCACGGGTCGTTGCCGAAAGGTGCAAGGGGAAGGAGGGAACTGATGACGGAGGGGCCGTTCAAAGGATCCTCATCCGCCGAGTGCCTCCCGGTCCCAACTTACTCATCTGCCATGGCGGAATCCTCCGGAACGCACACCCGACAACAACGCTTAAAGCAGGGGACGACATCGCACAACACACGTGAGAGGGAACGGAACCCGATGGGGGGGAAGGGCTTGGGACCGAGGTATTGGTTACGAGGCCGAAGGGATGTGTTGTCATCCCCCTCGACCTCCCTCATACCAAGAGATGCAAGTTATGGTCTGTCGGTGGTGAGGATGCCGAGAGGTCGAGAAGACGACGACAGCTCGACCTCGCCCGGAACGGATTCCTCGGAGACCGAGCATTCGGGGACACAGCGCGAGGAAGATCAAGATGAAAACGAGAGTGAGCTGGACAGTGGGAAGGACCAGGAAGAAGGACAACAATCCGACCAGAGCTCCTCTAGCGATTCGACAAAACGAGGGGGGCAGCAATCTAAGCAGCAAGAGGAGATATCAGGGGCAAAATCCATGCGAGGAGCTGAGGAAAAACACGATAGTCAACGACAGCAACGTGAGCGGCAAGAGGCAATACCGTGGGATTAATCGGCACAAGGCGCAGAGGGAGCAGAGGAGGGCCAGCACCAAGATGGACAGCAGAAGGACCTGCGAGCGAGCTGGCACGACAAGAGCGAGTGGAGACGAGACTAAAGGCCGTCTTGCGGGAGGGGGAATGCTACATCTGTCCCATCATTCTTTGGCATACAACACAAGGAATCCAAATGTTGATGGATGGGTTGACGGAGGTACCAATTTTCAGTGCCAACAAGCTCCCACAGGAGCAGTATCGGCAAAGTGCAGCGCTGGACCAGCCCGAAGTACGAAGTCATGCCACTGCCCGGGGTATCAGCGATGACGTTCATTCGGTGAACGCCGGAAGGGAAAGAGTATGCAGTCATTATTTACTTTGTGGAGGTTATTCCTAAGAAGCCGGGTCGCCGGAGATTGAGGTTCAACAATCTGCAATGGATTAACTTTGCGGAGACCTTTGGCCCCACGGTGCTCCCGCAGAACTTCCACATAGTACACACGACCTCCCTTGCCATCCTCAATAGTTTCAATGCAAGGCTACTGCGGGAGGAGCAGGTCGGCCAGGAGCAGTTCTTACAAGGAACCGGGATATGGGAACGGGGGGAGTAAGGGTGGAAGGGATACAAGGGTGGAAGGGATATGTTATCCTATAGGGTGTCATAGGAAAGTGACAACCCCCCCAGTGCAAGTAGAGGTAATTAGGGACATTAGCTTGGGGTGAGTGATATAGAAGGGGGGGGGGGCGAGTGTAGATATGACCGGTGGTAGACAGTGTAATCGGCTGCGTATGATGACATGGGATGTTAGAGGCCTGGGGGGCCGATTGTTGCTGCCCAAACGAAGAGAGCTGGCTGCAAAGGTGAAATCAGAGCGTATTGATGTGGTCTGCCTGCAGGAGACCAAGCTGTCTGAGAAAAAGACAGCTATACTGGCGCTATGGTGGAAGGGCCAGCAGGTATGGGCACCGACACAGGGTATGAAGGGAGGTGTGTGTATCCTCGTATCCCCCCATTTCATAGGAGAGGTGAGAGACTGGTATTACGACTCAAGGGGACGGTGGGCGTGGGTGGTCCTTCAGTGGGGGGAAGAGGTGTGGGGGGTTGTCATGGTGTACGGTCCGACGGAGATTGGCGCACAACGAAGGCTGTGGGAAAGGCTGCGGACATTGGTGCCGGATGTGGAAAAGATCATTATAATGGGGGAGTATAAATCCATTGCCGACCTGCTGCTAGATGCAGCAACGATTAGGCACTCGGATGCAGATTCGTTGGCACTTGTCAACAACATGATAGGCTTGGGGTGCACGGATGTGTACAGGACCCTATACCCACAAGACTAGAGCTACACATTCTGGGGTAACACAACGTCTAGAAGAAGCAGGATTGACATGATATGGGCAACAACAACGCTCAATGACACACTAGAGCAGGTGCAGATTAGTCCAATGGCTGTGTAGGACCACTCTGTGGTGATAGCGACCTGCAGATTAGTCCAATGCGGGAGGAGCAGGTCGGCCAGGAGCAGGTTGACACAAACTAGATCTTCAAAGTTCATGTACGTTAGAGGAGGATATTAAGCCGGACGAGGTGGAGAAAGGAATGGCAGAACTCCCCCGCCTTAAACCACCAGTACACCCGCACCTAAAATCCCGAAGCTACATGCCCATTGTGCGTCGCTATTTTCTGAGCCTTCTGCGTCTGGGTACCTGCAGTGGGAATTTCGGAAGTGGCACCGGTGCCTGAAGGGAAAAAAAAAAGAAAGGAAAAAACATGCGAGAGATCAATGATGTTGTGGAAGGACGTCACGCAGGCCATATTCAAACGATCACTTTCTAGAATGCATCTGACCACTATTACGGGGAGAGGAAAACATTGCGGTTGTTCCTTTTTTTCTCCTTTTGTGCTTTTCTTCCTTTCCCTGCCAGCAAGGCAGTGCATATCCCTCTTGCTCAAAACGTCCTCGTTGAGGGCATACTCACACTAGCGTCGTTGAAAAACATCCAACCACTTTCATGGCCAAAACTTTGTTTTTTTTTTTTTGTTTGTTCTTTTTTTGTGAGTCTGACAGTTGTGCTCCCCGTGTTCCTCGTTCTGCCGAAGTGCCCTCACTGAGGGTAGTACTCCAAAAAGTGTATCCAACTGCAATCACGGCCAAAACTTGTTTTGTTTTTTGGGGCTTTTTGTTTTTTGTTCTTCTTTGTGAGTCTGACAGTCGTGCTCCCCGTGTTCCTCATTCTGCCGAAGTGCCCTCACTGAGGGCAGTACTCCAAAAAGGGTATCCAACTACAATCACGGCCAAAGCTTGTTTTCTTTTTTGGGACGTACGGATTTGACATGGGCCTAAAATTTTGAAAACCTTCTGACGCTCCGACCCTGCCCCGACCCAGCCTTTTACTTCTTGTGGCGACAAGTTATTTTGCTGCAAGGCTGAGGCCGTGGCCAGCCCATGAGTTTCCCCATGTGCCTCCAAGTGAATCGAGGTACCCCCAAGGCCAAACCCCACCACTAGGCCTCTTTGGGGGTACCTGGACCTTATTTTGACCAAGTACATGCAAACCGAGTGGCTGGTACCACCTCGGACTGCCTCTTGGCCTCCTCAAGCCTCCTTTTTTTTTTCAAAAGTTGCCCCCCTTGTGTCCAAATGCTCAAGGGGCAACCTTACTAGAAAGAAAAAGGCCTTATGGGCCTCTTTCTTGATTTTTATTGTTCCTACCCCTTTTTGGTAGGCTGAGATATTTTTCCATGTCTCGGATCAATCCCAGCCTTGGATCTGGCCGAGATCCAAGGCCAACATAATTATGAGCTACCCCCAAGTGCTCCTTGGTTCAATTTTGAGCCCCTATGCTCACTTTTTCAATTTTTGGTTCATTTGGCCTTCTTTTGGGGCCAAATGCACCATTTCAACTTTTTCCTTCTTTTGTTTCTTTCCATTTTGGGCTGCCAACTCATTCCGGAGTTGGCCGTTTGAGCTGGCCACACAAAAAATGGCCATATACTCTCCACGATGAGATCTGATCTTAGATCCATGACTCAAAAAAAAAACGTTCAACTCCTTTTTGCATTTTTGCCCAATTTTGCTCTTTTTAATTTAGATATTGCTGAGATAATGCCCTTGGGGCATTATTTATACAATCTGGATTGCCCTCCACAAAATTTGGAGGGATGAGGTCACAGTAGGTGTGCAAGTCCCAATAGACCGGCTCATTCTCCTCCACCCTTTTTTCCCCTTTTGTCTCATTCTCCTTACTTTTTCCCCCATTTTTCTTTCCTTTTTCTTTTATTTTTGTTGTGACAAGTATCAAACTGTTGTGCATCCTCTTTTTAGGCCTTAGGACCTCATTGAAGACCAGATTAATGGCCAGCAGTTGGCCATTGCAAATCGGATTGCGATAATAGAGTCCCCATGCTTATGGGGTCTCCCGTTGGCCTCCGTTTTCTCATTTTTGAGCCCCCTTGTGCGCCGATTTTTCCTTGGCAGCTTATTTTCTGCATAGAGCCCATTGAGGCTCTATTTCCTTGTGCCTTGCTAGCCTGAGATATCTCGGACTGCTGGGCAGCCCCTCCTTCCCCCTTTTTCTCTCATTTTTACCTCCTAGCATTCTCTTCTTAGGCTCTCCCAGTTTTGCACTCACAGTGGCTAATATTTTTCACCGTCAAGATCTTGATCTTGATGGCACTGCTTGCTTGCACGTTCTTCCTCTTTTGCTAGCTATGGTTCCCTTGGGACTACTCAAGTCCCTGCCATTCTCCCATACCAGTCTCATTTTTTAGTCCCGGCGGTGGTCCCGCCGGCGCATGTCCCAAATTTCGACTATTTTAATTTGGGTCCATTTAGTCCCCAACATTCTTCCCGGTGACGTCCCATTTTTGTTTGAGGCTCCTTTGTCCCCGGCAGCCTCGCTCCCTTCTTCTCATGGACCTCAAGCGCCGTGAATATTATAGGCCACGATGAGATGCCTGTAGAGTTGTACAAGGGCTTTTGCAACTTCTTCGTTGCCGTGTTGACAGTGACCTATAATGAAGCAGTTAAATCTGACACCCTACCTTAGGGATTTGCGGATGCATACATCATCCTCCTATATAAGAAACGACTGAAAACGGATGTTTGGAACTGGTGACCGATATCCATCCTCAATTCATTGTACAAGATCCTGGCTAAGGTAATGGCCAATCGCCTCAGGGAAATCCTATCGCGCATTATAGACACGACCCAGACAGGATTTGTATCTGGTCGTTAGATCCTTTCCAACGTGATCCTTGCGCAACAAGTCTTGGAGGAGGGGTGCTCTACAGGTAGGGTTAAGGCTTTTGTTTCCATAGACCTGGAAAAAGCCTATGACCGGGTCCGATGGGAGTTCCTCCTGCAAGGGCTGGCACACAAGGGGATAGGAGGTATTTTGTGGGGGTGGGTGCGTACTCTCTATGGTGGTGCAAATCAAGTGGGTTAGATCGAATAAACTGAGGGAGACCAGATCCGTGAGACAAGGCTGCCCGCTGTCTCCCGCTCTCTATGTCATCTACATTGAATCAATGCATGACATATTGAGAGCGGACGATCGACTGGAGAGCTTAAAGGCATGCTGGAGGCGGAGCTGCAATCCACTGCATTTGTAGATGATGCAGGGGCGGTGATTCCCCCGAAGACTCAGCAGCTGGTCATTCTCAAGGAAGATGTGTAGTTCTTCTGCAAGTACTCGGGAGCGTGGGTCAGTTGGGGTAAATCAAAGGTCATTCTCCCTCGGAGAACAGATCGGACGGAAGGGTGGGGTGTACCGACTGTGGGGGATGACGAGAGGATGGTGTTTTTAGGAGCAAATCTAATGCCGAGCTATGGTGGAATTGAACAAATGGCGCTTAGAGCAACTGCGGCGGTGGCTTGACCGAAGGCATGGAGTGCAAGGGGGAGCATCGGTGTGTTTGGGAAGGCCCTTGTTATCAAAAACTCAGTGCTAGCCACCCTTTGTTACGCAGGTGTGGTCCGCATGCGAGGTAGGCGTACCTTCACATATATCAAGAAAGGCAATTCATGCGCATTTGTGGATCAACGATGCCGAAGCGGATGATTCCATATGCAGAGTGGCATGGACCAAGCTCATCCAGCCGAAACGGTTTGGGG